GGTCTGATTGGACCAAACTCGCAACAATCATTACCAAACTTATAACTTTCCGCGAATGTTAAGATGTCATTGCGAGACCAACTTTTATATATCGAGACTCGAACGTTATCAATATTGATTGACTGTTACGAATTTATCGCCGAAACAGCTGGCTGTCGCGCAGCCGAGTTTCCTCCGCGTCCAGTTCACTTTAAATCTATAATTCACGGCGAAATTTATTTATAGAACCTGCAATTCCATGTACAACACGTGAAATATGGAAATAATTTGAAAGCTCGGACACGCGTGTGACTCAGAGCAACAATATACAGGGTGTTATGTAATGTCTCACCTCTTATTTACGGATAGAGCAGACTAGACTGAGTCGAAAAGTCCTCTACCATTTTGCAACTTTCGCAATAGTTAATGAGTTATTAAATTATTAAAAATCGCTGACTTAGCCCGGTCTACCGCCCGATTCAAACGCACGGCCGTCCCGCGATTGGCATTGCTAGGCGCGCGGGGAGTTGTTTATGACACGCGGCAATGGCTACGTATATAAGGCCAGTTCTACATTGATCCTATCGTATCGTCGCAAGCGTCGCAAATCATAGATTCGACTAATCAGCGTTGAATTAGAACCAGTCTACGACCCCTGCGACACTACGATGCGACCAATGTAGAGCCAGCCTTCTAAACAACTCTTCGCGCGCCTAGCAACGCCAATTGTGGGACGGCCGCATGCGTTTGAATTGGACGGTAGGCCGGGCTAAGACAGCGATGTTTAATAATTAATAACTCGTTAACTGTTGCGAAAGTTGCAAAATAGTAGAGGATTTGTCGACTTAGTCTAGTCTGCTCTATCTATAAATATATGTAAGATGCGAGGCGGGTATTACATACTCGTATATGTAACACCCTGTATATTAAGCTGCGCGCGTCAAGATACACGTTATTTAAAATTATAAACAAAATCGCGGCCGGAAATCTGACGTGAATTGTAAATCAGGTCTGAAGAATCGATCGGCGTCTTCCGCGACGCACGAGGAAGTCGTAAACGAGGGACAATAACTGCCGTTTTATTAAGGTCGACGGCAACGCGCAATACATCGCCAATGAATCGGTCCTCGATAACAGCCGTTCGTTTAGGCGCGATCGCCTTAACGCGACAATTGCGCTCGGCGAGACGCACGATGGACCGCGCTGGCGAGCGCGAGAAATCGAATCGCGCCGCCAAATGAAAATATGTTTCGCCACGCGCGCACGTGGCGCACGTGCGTCGCGTCCGAAATGCACATCCCTGGCGCTCGCACTGACCCGGAATTGTCCGTTTATTTAGGTAGTTGCATATTTAAGAGCCTTCAAAATAAATCGTGCTTGCACAATTTTAACAAATACAATATTTGGTGTAATATTAAAAAAAAAAGATTTCTTCTCTCCCTCGGCACTTTGTCATATTTCTTCTTTTCTTTCTGTTTTCTATCGTTTCTTCTTTCCTTCTCGTTCTTTTTCTTCTCTTCTTCTTCTTTCTTTCTTGTCTCTTCTCTTTTCTCTTTCGATTTCCACGCCGCAGCTTCGAAATTCTAATACAAGAAGCAAGAAATCGTTTTGCGAACCATGCTGTTTACTGAAATTACAGTAAATCTAACTCATATAATGCAAAAGAATTTGCATGATTTTCACTGATAAGTTGTAATCCAATACAACCGCAGCGAAATCAATTGGAGGCCTTAATTTAATTCCTTCTAAATAATATATTTTTTAATAAATACGAATAATTCCAGTGCAATAATTTGCAATTGATTTTTCGACAAGTTATACCAATTTTTCCATTCGATTTAAACAATTTCACATTAACGTAACTGGAATGGGCGGTGATTCGATGGACACATACGTGACGATTCGTGAGACGCAAATCATTAGAGAAGTGTATAATTCCCGATATATCCTAGCTGCGACACACACACGGGCGCGGTGGTAGTGTGCGTTGACGTAACGCCATGTTAAATCGCTTCCTCGCTGGAGAAAAATTATCTCATATTACGACCGACTAATCGTCACTATCATCGCATATCACGCTCGTCAGGTATATGTTCGTTGAAATCAACATTGCCTTGACGGACGATAAGCACGAGATAATAGACGTTATCCCAACGGCGCGATTACGCAGCAACCTATCGGCAACAAAGTGGAGAGATAAGAAAGTATTCTGCGAATAGTCTCACGCACGCGAGAGACGTGTATGTATAAAGTACCAAACAAACAATAATAGATAATTAAAGTATGAAAGAGGATCTACGCGCGTGTCGACGAAGAAAGAGACTTGAATGAACTCGGTCGTGCTTTCGTCGATGAAAAAACATCGAGATTAATAATCTATGTATTAAAACAATGAAACATGTAACGCATGCAATCAATGAGAAACTTGCAGACAACGTAGCATAGCAATGCTTCCCCCCTCTCTCTCTCTCTCTCTCTCTTTCTCTCTCTCCCTCTCCCTCCCTCCCTCTCTCTCTCTTAAGATTTTAAGAAACATGCTACCGAAGCAATTAAGAAATAGTAGGGAGTGTGCACTGAAAGAACCGTATATTAATAATAAATGTAAGAATTTTTTGTGTCCGGTCTTAATAAATATTTCTTTATAGTTAATACATGGTATATTAAGAATTACCAAATATTATATATTAATTGATGATATTTTTACTGTACGGTCACGTACATTACTATTTAATATCACGAATTTATATTAACATTTATATATTTCTGACAAAGTAATCGAGTTCAAACTTAGGGTATATTAATAATTATTAAAGTATTTTTCTCGGTGTGGGTGAAAGACTTGACCTAGAGAGACTTAGAGACTTGAATGAACTCGGTCGTGCTTTTGTCGATGAAAAAACATCGAGATTAATAATGTATATATTAAAGCAATGAAACACGTAACGCATGCAATCAATGAGAAACTTGCATTAAAAAAAAACATGCTACCGAGGCAATTAAGAAGTAGATTAGAAATAGTGGGGAGTGTGGGCGCTCCCTGAGAAAAGATAAACGCGAGAGACCGGGGACATTGTAATTCAATTCCGCCGAGTGAGCAAAGATGTGTATCGTATGAAGGAGTGAAAATGTATAACGCGTCGTCAGCTGAGATAAAGAGTCGTGAGAAAAATAGAGTCGTCTAAACGAATGTTGAACGAGTGCGCATTAGAAAGAACATAAATTAACGTACATTACAAATAGCTGGGAAAGCTAATAAAGATCGTTCGACCAGTCAATCTCTCAAATAACAATCTAGCTACTTCCTTGCGTTCTAACATGCAGGCGCGCGCACCTGCTTTCTTGCCAGCGCGTAACTCGGTAACTGGAAATATTACGCAACGTCTTACGTGCGCGTCGAGCGCCGTTCTCTGCAGTTCGTTATCCGCCGGATAACGCTGCCGCCTTTTGCTCCTACAATATAATAAAATAATATACAATGTGTGCGATGCAGGGCGCAGCGATGACGCTGTAGGACTCGACGAAGTTATAAGTGGATGCAAAAATAAACCGAGTTTATGCAACGCTGATGAACGCGGCAGATAAAACGATGAGTGGATCGGCATTCAGTGCCAAATGTAAGGTGTTTCCCCGGAGGGTATTTTCTAAATTAACAAATAAACCCGGGCGAAACCGCGTCTTCGCACACTGAGGGACCCATTTTGTCCAAATTTTCCAACTAAATTTGTTCGTTGTATCAACTGAAAGATTTGTTCGCTCATATCCAGACGAGAAGTTCAGCTGAGTCAACGAAATTTTGTTTCATTCAACAAAACGGGTCTCTGAGTGCACGCGTTAAATGTCACGTTTTAATGTTCGCGGTTGGAGGAAGGGAAAGGGGGAGATGCGGATCGCGTTTTTAATTAAGATATCGGCGAAAGGGACTAATCTGCGTCACGATAAGTTGTGTACTAACGCGAGCCCTTCGTTTCTCCAGCCAGATGGACCCTGCCCTTGACGGACGTGCTGGCGGTGCGCTACGGCGACGACTGGATCCCGGGGGTGAGCGTCAAGGAGAAGCAGCCGACGCAGCCGACCTCGCCGGCCACGGTGTGCCCGACGAACTTCATCCTGCACTACGCCGTGCGCGGGCCCAAGAACAAATGGAGGCACCACAGCGTGACGATGAGCCACACGGATCCCAGGCAGGTCGCCTCGTGGGTGAAGACCATTCGCAATTACCTCCTAGGTGAGCCGGCGATCGCGGGCGTCCCGCCCGTTTTAAATCTACCGGAGCGTCTCAATCGAAACGCCCGGTCAACGTCGTAATAATTTTAGAATTGCGACACACAGTAGCGGCCAAAATTATATCACCTTTAGGTTTTCTGAGCATACCCGAGTCGAATATCTTGACCTCGGTTTAGCCTCGCATAATTTTTTAATCGGGAGCGATGAGGTCGATATGCTGAATTTTTTTACCTCAGGCCTGAAGAGTCGCGATTTCCCTTTCAGCAGTAAAGAGGCCAATGCGAGTGTAATCAACGGAGGTCCGGTAAATCCTCTTCGGCCCGCGGGGTTTACGAGGAGGGTGAAACATTTTATTACATTCTCTTTGAGGGTTAGAATAATTGAACGCAATTTTTTTTACGCATCTGGGCCTGAAATTGGAGTTTCAAAACGAGGCTCCGAATGAAGACAGAATAGAATAATTGAGGTGAATTTCGGGACCAAATACTCGACTCTGGTAACTTTCGTCAAAGGACATCGAATGCGCTCGAAATTTTCTCTTGTACATGAGGGATCATGAAGTTTGACAAAGTATACCATAATTTTCGAAGTTTTCACTCGTGCACTCTAAAATTTATAGTTACGCACAAAAAATCGAAAGGTGATACAATTTTGACCAGTACTGCATATATGCGCGCGTTGTCTGCAAATTACTGAACCAGGTGAGCGAAATAGAATCGCGAAGTGGAGCCACGGAGTGGTATAGCTCGTGTCTAACATCGAAAATGCACATGCGGCAGACGATGTGAAAACGAGAAAGCCGCATCGAAGGCCACGGGCAATTAGCGCGGCGGGGAATAATTAGCGACGCGCCTGTAATTTTCTACGTCCCGTTTACGACGCTTACGAAAATACACACGTATTATTTTAGCGATACGCGAGGCTGACGTTGTGTCTGCGAGCGACTCGTTCGCGCTCCCGTATACATTTTTTTTTATTGCCTATGTGTATGTGCGTCAGTAAAAGAATGACGAATTCCCGTGCCGACTTGCTTGCTGAATGAAAAATACGCATAGAAAACGAGACGAGGAAAATAGTCGATCGAACTTGACGTCGAGGAATCGGCGTGACGCACAAATTAATGAGAACTCGCCAGCTCCTGCATCGTCGCTGATATCATTGCGGTACTGTATAAACATAATAAAAGTAACGTAATATTTTCGTAGATAAAATATTGACACGAGCAACTCGGATTTAGGAAAGTGCCGGAAGGAAGTTCGGCTGAAATAACGAATCTTGAAAATACGGGAAAGGTTTCGGTAATTGGAGAACTAATAATAGGGAAATATTAAAATCGAGATGATCCAAAATGCAAAATTGCGCCGAAATAAAGAGATTATTTTCTGGAAAATAGAGTTTGCACGTTATATAAAGTAAAAAAACAACTTTGAAAGCTTTATATAATATCTCCATTAGATATAAACGTACAAAACTCCGTTTTATTATATATTATGTGTTTGTGTGAATTCTCAAAGATAAGTTAAAGATAAGATTTTAAGATAAGCCTTCAGTTGTCGATCACTGTATTGTAGAGTAAAAAGTTTCCGCGATAAGCAACTGCTACTTCTATGAATATTTTTCCATCGCAATTAAAGCCAGTAAAACGACGATGAAAGGTCTGCGTCGCGAAGATATACGCGGTGACCCTAAAACTTTGATAGTGCATCGTAGCCGGCAAATTAGTTGCGGTTTGCACCAAAGTTTTATCGCGGGTCGGTTTAATTTCACGGATCGAGATATACTATAGTCCTCCCAATTAAACTGCCGCCCCGCTCTTCGGTCCCGTTTATTCACAAGTCACAGCTACCGAACCGCTGGCTGTACGCGCGTCGATCTCGCCGTTCACGAATTTCAATACCTTCCAAAAATCGTACGTCGCTGCTCTGGGGAAAAACAAGACAGTTAGCAACCCGTTTTGGCGCCCACAATTGATAATCGAATTATTTGGATTGTTTGTGACTCTACTCTGGGCATCTCGGTTAGCGCCTCTTAAGTGAAAATTATCTTTGCTGAATATCAGATAGAACTAATTGAGAGAATTGATTAGCATTACTTAAAAATCTTGGATATAGATAGAACAGCTAATTGCGATTTTTAGTTACGCGGGGTAAAATTCGTAAAAGAATGGAGTTGCGAACAATCCAAATAATTCGATTACTAATTGTGGGCTCCAAAATGGGCTGCTAACTGTCTCTTTTTTTCCCAGAGCAGCCTCCATTCTCTAATTTTGCCGTCCACGCGTGCCTCCCATTTCGCTGTTTCTCGATTTCCCCGAGTTAAATGGAATTGCGACGCTGTCCGTTTAGGGGCGTCGCAAAACGAATTAAGCGATTTAGGGTCTCTCGACTCGCTCGAGACGCAATGATGATGCTGTGTGTTGGTCCCGAGAGGCAGAAGGGAGGAGAGAGAGAGAGAGAGAGAGGGGGAGGGCGCAAATGTTAATGAATGTCGAGGAAACAGAGTGGGCGTGCTCTAAACTACCCCTATCGACCGTCGTCGCGAGCCAACAGCTAGTATTGATCTCAGGGTTTGCCGCACGCGTGTAATCGTTTTCGCAAGAAAAAACAAACCCTCGTTCGATCATCGACATTGCATCGCGTGCCGTAAGGAAAATCGATCGGCACACACTTTACATGATTAAAGCCCTGCCTTCCTCCTTCGTGTCTTTATTTGACCCATTTTCGTCTTTAAACAGGCGGAGTTGATTAAATCGCGATGAAGAAGGGGGAGGAGTCGATAAAAATAAACCCGTCCGTTTTACCAATCTAACAATTCTTTTCCTATTGGAAAAGAACGAAGGAACTTTTTTATCAGCTGGCACGATAAGGTGCACGGCTTTGCGGAAATACATTGTTTCTCATGCTCCTAAATTTTTATTCAGTTTTTTTTAACCCTTTCATGAACTCTGGAACATACAAGTTCCACTTACAAAATTTGAAAAGACTCAATAATTTAGCATGCACTCTGCAAGGCACTGTGAAAACATTATATTGACAAAATTTTTTTTAAAAATCAAAAGGATAATTTGATCGTGAAAGGGTTAATCGGTTTTTCGCGTAAGATAAAGAGGATATAAATCCGATTAAGATTTAAAGAATTAACCGAAGGAATTCGAGGGATTGAATTGAAAGACTTAAGGCCCGATTCCACCAAACGTCGCTTAACTTTAATCTTGGTTTAATTCACGTTTGTCTCTTTCTAAAGTAACAATTGAAGAGAGACAAGGAACGAATTAAGCCAGTGAACTCTATACATACTGGAATGAGTGATCTATTGTTCTGGCTGTTGCCGAGAGAGAGGTGCGTTTGGGTGAATCCTTGTCTCCTTCTAGTACTACCTGATTGGATAGTCGCATATAAATGACGAGAAGAAGGGCGTCATTTATATGCGATTATCCAATCAGGTAGTACTAGAAGGAGACAAGGATTCACCCAACGCACCTCTCTCTCGGCTACAGCCAGAACTATAGATCACTCATTCCAGTATGTATAGAGTTCACTGAATTAAGCTAAGCCCAAAGTTAAACAACGTTGGTGAACGTGAAACCGGACCTAAGGCGCAGGAAAGGGGATCCGAAAGCGGAGTTCAATTTTGCAGTCGATCGTTTCAGGTCTGACGTATCGGCCGCGTAAGGTGATGCTGTTCATCAATCCCATAGGCGGTAAGAAGAAGGGCATCAAGATCTGGGAGAAGGATATCCAGCCGCTGATGACCATCGCCGGCATCGAGACAAAGATGATGGTCACGGAGCGTGCCGGCCACATTCGCGACGCTCTGCTCACGGCCGACTTGAGTGACCTACATGTGAGTCCTGTTCTTGCAAAACTAACATTCTATTACTCCCATGTGCGATCCGGATCGGAAGGCCAGCCAGCTCGGCAAACAAATGCATTGCGCGAGTTTGGAAAATTGTTTAGGGGACCAAAATTGGAAATGTTATCTCGCCAGTGAAAAACCAAAAAACTCGGATTTTGATCGACCAAGGCTGGCAACTTTATTTTAAATTATTTTAACACTTGGTGTTAACATAATTTAAAATAAAGTTGCCAGCCTTGGTCGATCAAAATCCGAGTTTTTTGTTTAGGGGACAACAATTTTCACAAATCACTAGATTTATATTCGCATTATCATTTTGTATATTGGAGCAATTGTCTATTTCAATTTGAAACGTAAAAGCTATTTAGGGCCTGGCACAGGTGAAGGTGGCCAATTAAATTACTAAGTGAATCCATATACCGTCCTTTTCCAACCTGTCCTGCGCGCCGTTAAATACCGAACATATAACGCAGGTCTTTCGTTAGGTGGAATCATTTAATTGGCCACCTCCACCTGTGCCAGGTCCTAAATGGCCTTTACGTTTCAAATTGATTTATATCTTAAAAGGGCCGAGTTAAAATTTAATTATCTATTTACTAGCGTAGGATAATGTTATACTTATTATCTCTCGAAAAAAATGTTAATTCTCAAGTTTGCATCCTGGAGTTTTGTATACAGGGTGTCAATCAATGTTTGGGACTTATTTTTTGTACAGATAGATCGGGCCAAACCGAGTCGAAAAGTCCTGTACCATTTTGCAATTTTCGCAATCGTTAACGAGTTATTAATTATTAAAGTCACCGTCTTAGCTCGGTCTAGTCCAGTGTAAGCGCGCGGCGAGATGTGGCCGGCCCCTCGTTGGAACGTTGCTAGGCGTGCGAGGGTTGTTTATTAAAAACGGTAACAGCTACATATAATAAACAACTCGCCGCGTGCTTACACTGGCTAAGACGACGATTTTTTATAATTAAGTTTGTATGAGTTTCTGCATTTTTACGATACATTTAAATATCTAGAAAACCTCTCAATTTCACATCCCCAGATAATTATCGAAATGTCCCTGCTCTACATAACAGACATACAGACATTCTTTAGCACACCTACAAGTCTAAGGCCCGGTTTCCAACTTTAGAAAGAGACAAAGAGCGAATTAAGCTAAGCTTAAAGTTAAACAACTTTGGTGAAACCGGGCCTTAGACTTGTACGTGTGCTAAAGAACGTTTGTATGTCTGTTGTGTAAAGTAAGTTTAAAGTTAAGCGACGTGAAACCGGGCCTAAATTTGTCAGACAGCAAATTGGACCTCGCACTGTACGTACATAAGTTAATGATTCCAGCTACCCTTAAATTTAACTTCTCGCGTTCGACAGGCGGTGGTGTGCATCGGCGGCGATGGTACGTTCTCCGAGGTGTTCAACGGGCTGATTCTGAGGGCGGCGAAGGATCAGCAGATCGATCCCAATGACCCTGACGCCAGCCTACCCAGTCCCGCCTTGCCTGTCGGCGTTATACCCAGCGGTAGCACAGACACGGTCGCCTATAGCCTGCACGGCACCACCGACGTGCAGACCGCCGCCATACACATCATCTTCGGCGATTCGATCGGTCTGGACATCTCATCGGTTCACAACAATCGCACCTTGCTCAGGCTCTACGCCAGCGTGCTCAGCTACGGCTATCTGGGCGACGTAATCCGCGACAGCGAAAAGTTCCGCTGGATGGGACCCCGTAGATACGATTGGTCCGGTAAGGGGTTCCCCCTCAAGTCTTTCGGTTCTTTAATTCAACACGAAGAATTCTCATTGAGCGCATTGGCTGATCGAGTCTAATTGTTCGACTCTTAACAATCCAACAAATCTACGTCGATCTATTAAATTCTGGCCAAGTACGAAATTGAATAATCAAATAATAATAAAATTGATTTTCTGTATAGCAAAACGTATATTACGTAATTGGCGTAATTATCTAATAAAGTATACGTATAAGTGCGGATGGGATTGGTGTTAGATTAATTAGAACTTTTCGTTTCCAGGATTTAAAAAGATATTAGCGAACAAGGGCTACGAGGGCGAGATCGAGCTGCTGTCGGACCCGTGTCACCCGGCGGGCAGCACCAGGTGCATGAAGAATTGCTTACGCTGCTTGCAGCACATGCACAATAGCGTCCCCGACGAGGAGATCTCCAGTAAGTGTTAGAAATAGGAGTCAAGTACGTATAATGCCATTACAAAATTGGCTAGAATTAAGCGCGTAATGTCTTGTATCTTCGAACAGGGTGGGTGACGGTCAGGGGGAAGTTCTTCATGGTGAACGGCGCGAACGTGTCGTGCGCGTGCTCGAGGAGTCCAATGGGCTTCAGTCCTCACTGTCATGTGGGCGATGGCTGCGTGGACGTGATCCTAATTCGACACACGTCCCTAATAAACAATATCAGATTATTGCTCAGGCTGTCCAGCAAAAGAAAGACTGTGGTACGCTCGAGTCCCAACCATATATGCGGATAATAATCGCCAATTATTCATCCTTTTTACTGGACGCTTTAATGGCTGTGTTTACCGCATCAATCACTGCTCACATTTAGCACCTCCGTTGCCGTGTTTATCACCGGTTATACACCGCCGGTATACGTGGAATTTTTTTTTTTTTTTGGTTTGTCGTACACATCAGCCGTGGTCATCACAAGTCGTTCTTTAAATGTCATTATTCTGCGCGACGCCTGAGAAAACATTATGACGCTTTTATAGTTGCACCAGAGACGTCAGTGCGCTCAATTGTTTAATCAGTAGTCAAAAAAATCAATTGTGACACGAGACCAAATGTTATCTCGAAAAATACAGATAATGCATGTTTGATCAGTTACTATTTGACACAATAAAAAAACAATTTCGCGAAATTACAGCACTATGCTTTACTGCGATGTACCTATCATTCTGAAACACTAACAATAAGCTCGAGACTGTGTGAGTTACAATACTTTCAGTATATCACGCTCTACTTATTCATACTGATTATACAGGGTGAGGAAAAAGTATGGAAACCCCTAAATGTCTCGGGAACTACGCATTTTAGAAAGAAATGTTTCAGACAAAAGTTGCAAGGTTGAAAAAGGTCTATTTACTGATCTTATCAGTTTGACTTTACACGGCGTCGCCAAGGTCAGGTTACCTTGAATTTTCTTTAATGGAACTCCCTATTTTTTATTGCATATTCTTGTAGCCCTCGTCGAGACGTTTCCAAAACACTGCAATGAAGCTTCTTTTGGTTAAGAATTTTCTGAGATATTTTAAAATTTATCGCGACACTTTTTAATACAAAATATGAAATATCTCGTAAAGTGAAGGAGAAAGATCCGGCTATCTTAGGCAAGATCGGAGGAAGATTTTTCAAAATAAAACGAACAATTTAAATACTCAATAATTAGAGAGCTATCAGTATCAGTTGTTTTCGAGATATTTAGGGGTTCCCATACTTTTTCCTCACCCTGCATATGCGTATGCGGTATAATTAATTCATATATATTATTATTTAGAGAATATATGATTATATGCTATATTTAAAATCTAATTATGCTTTTAAAAATTGGGATGAAAATGGATTTGCAATTCCATTGCAGTACGAGCTACCGTTCGTCGAGGTCTACCGGGCGAGAGAGTTCATGTTCCGCGCCCTGCCGTCGCTGCAGTTCGAGAACGGGTTGAACGCGGCCCGCTCGAGCTCCCAGCTCAGCGTGTGGAACTGCGACGGCGAGGTGATCGAAAACACCAATGTGAAAATCAGGTAGGTAAACAGCAGGCGACAGCGGGATCGCGTTATCGGGTACGAGTATATCCCGCGCGCCGCCGCGTTACCCTCCATTTTAACTCTGATTACCCAAGTGGGACAAGTTAATCACGAAAACGTCAACGTGACATTAAAATTATGAATTTTACGCCATAAAATGATCGACATCAAGATTTACTTTGCAATGATTGATTTACGACATCCTGTTTTATGATATTCGTGATGTGTACAATAATATATTACAAAAATTACATGATCAGTCATGTATTATTTATCTTATATTACTTCAATTTATTTTTAATGTATAATATTTAATTAACTTTGCTTTGTAAAACAAGATTATTTTTGCAACATTTTGATGTCTTAATGATGTCACAAATAGGTGCTCTCGGTGGGCTATTTTGACGTCACCATGGTGCATAAAAAATGATCAAAAAATGATCTCATCTTGATGCTTTCGTGACTAATATGTTCGACTTGGGTATACAATCAAATTTTTATCTTATCGAAAACTCGCGTACGTGCGGTTTGGGCATAATACTCTCGTAATTGCGGGCGATACGAAACATATACCGCGGTTCGGCGTCTTTAAATTTGCGCAGGGAGCATTTGCGTTAATTGCCGAATGTTCGGACAGGGTACACTGCCAATTACTGAAGGTCTACACGAGACGGGCTCAGGAATCGGTCCGGGAACCGACGTGCCTCAGCTGTTCCACGTGAACGAGCCGAGCGAAGTGACGAGGTCGTCGAACGGCCAGGCTTCAAGGCACCGCTGGACGCTTTCAAGGGCGCAAAGTTCCTTTGTCTTGCCCTATTACGACCACGATATCTTACGCCATAACGCAGATTGATGAGAAACAAAAATCGCTCGTTCCTCTACGCCGAAGTAAAAGGAGCGAACAATTTTCTTTTCATCAGTCCAACATTTCCAAGCGTGTTCAAGCGAGAACAATTTCACGCGTTGAATACGCTCTTCCACATTACTCCCTGGATAAGTTACTTTTAATTTATTACTGGCAGCGACGAGTAAAGCTTGTTCTCCTAAAAATCGCTGTTACGAGTTTTACGAATTTTACCTCGGGTGAGCAAGCTTGACTCGTGGCCGCTAATCCGGAATTAAATTCATAATTATTAGTGTAATATGTATGTATATTAGTAATATTACAAAATTCTCTTAACTCTAGAGAGGTGACGTAAGTAAAGTTTGCTTGCTACCGAGTCTGGAGTTACGAAGGAGGGATTTTGCAAATGTTGATTGTAATATTGACCAGAATCGAGGGACCTGCTGGACACAGGTGATTGATTAAAGAGCGGCGCGCGAGCTTACGTAATCTCTCCTTTACGCCTGCGTGTAATCCGCCTCGCGCGCACAAATTTATTTATAACTTCTTTATCGTTGCATTTGACGACTGTTTGGCGATTGATGTGCTTTCCGAGAATACGTTGAACATTCCACCTGTCGGCGCGATGCGAGCCGCATGGCGCTCGAATTAATTTTATACGCGCATCGACGCGATATTTCCTACACGAAACGTTAACGCATAAACACAGTCGCGATGTATATAACACCGTCGCGTCTCGATTACCATTTCGCGCTTGTCGCGCGTATTTTCGTTAGATATTCGCTAAAAGCCGACCTAGAGACTGCATTTGTCATGGTCTCTTCGCGACGCAGAAATCAACGACGACTCTACCAAGCCGATATCATCTACGTTTTGTACTTAAAACGTTTTATTATCGACGCCTACGAACTCGAAGCGACAAGTGATAAACGTGGCAATTATTGTTACTTAAATTTATATGTATATACATATGTTATTGATTGTAAATTTACTTCTATGATAAATTCGCAATCAATAGCAAACGCAATTTCATCGGCGTAATAAATTAAAACGACAATTGATAATTACTTTAGTCAAATTTAAAGCTTCGCTTGTAAAATCTCGATCCTCGAACGCGAAACACGCACTTGACACCTTAATTAAATCACCAGCTTTTTTAAAATGTTATTTCGGTAAACTTTTGTGGAAAGACAATCAAGAGGTGCGAGAGTGGTGCTTTAATTTTACGAACTTCAAGGCTTATGATTTAAGTCGATGCGATCGAATTAGCAATTAGCGAGCTTTCTTTTCTAATAGCTTCTATATCTTTATCCGCGAAAGTTCAAATTATAGAATATTTGTATGTACATTAACTGCATACGAGCGAGGGAGCGTAATGTGGTAACAAAATGCGATTATTCGCGATTAAAATGCAAACGTTTATGCAAATGTGCGGGATTCTTAATTGCATTGTCAATGCTTCAACGTTCAACAAGCTCAATTGTCTTGGATGAGACAAATTTTCCATAATTGTAACAACTTGCGGAAAGCCACGTGCCTTTTTCTTTCAGCTCTAGATTCGACCGAAATATTGACATGTAATTAAGAATTATCGTTCTACACATTTTTACAGGAAGTAAGTGAAGAGAAGCGTAACAATAAAAAAAAATCTTTCCGCGCGCGATAAAAGAAAAGTATATATTTCGGTTTTACAACTTTTCTGTTTGCTTCCCGTGTATTTGCATAAACACCCGCGGTCTGAACCGCTAGAATCCCCGACAAATTCTCTTGATGGTCGAGCAAAGTGGAATACAGTTAAGCGCGGCTTGTACCGCAAATATCGTATTTTTTTAGTGCTCCAAGCAGGTGCTATTTTGTGTCGTGGGAAATTAGACGTAGACGGGTTCCGCTGCACGTGTCGAAGCGTAATCGACGGATTACGGACAGCATAAATGGCACTATACATATAAGCAGTATCATATCCTACCAATGGCCAAGCCATAAAAAATTCATCAGGGAAGAAGAGCTATAACGCTCGCGATCGTCGCGTTTGCTGCCGGTTAGACAATGTTGACGTCACGCGGCAACTAGGGAACGATGCAATACGCGAAATATATTTTAAGAGAGATTACTTTGAAGTATATTTTCTGACGAAAGATTAGGCTCCGTAAGCGCATAAGATTTCAATCGTGCGCAGATTTCATTCGTTCCTTTTAAATAATAACATATCATAGATTTGTATCGATCTATATAGGATCGCGCGTATGGAGATGCATATTTTTTGATTTGCGAGGCGTTATTCGCGCAAATTCAGATGATGTCTTCTTAAAGGGCGGCTTAGACTTAATGTGCATTAACGAAATAGTATCACCGAAGCATATAGTGCATACGATATCAGAACTTGTACAGATATGTATGGGGCGTCCCAGAAAGCTCGGTGACCCTTTCACAGGCTCGGTGGAACATTTTAAGACGAAAATCCCGGGCCGTAAAAATGCCGAAGATGTCATATAGCAAATTCGGTTGCTTGCACTAGTGCGCACTCAGTGTGCACTAAGACTTGTTTACAATTCTTATATTCAAGGGTCGCTTTAAACCTCTCGAAACACTCCTTACAGCCAGCAAAATGATCCGTACAGTATCCGTACGAACCATTTTTTTTTGGCTAAATAGTCTTTGACCAGGTATTTAAGATGACCATCGATAAGAATTGACTCCGAACAAGTATGCACTCAGTGCAACCGAGTTCGCTAATAATTTTTTAACGGGAAGCATAGTTGCACCGAGAAGTCTTTGAAAATGATTTCAGTGAAATAAACATTATATGCCACAAATAAATTTTCAAAGACTCTTTTCTCCGTGTGGCTGATCAGTTCGCGAAAATTTCACGTGCTCGCGCATGGTACACTAGTGGTATAACGTTCGCGGAGCGCGCTATTAACGCTGAAAATGTCACCTTTCTTTGGCACATAATGAGCAGCAAGGATAGAACGATGACATACATTTTCTATAAATGTATATGCGAAATGTGTAAATGTGTTGATATGTGCACAAATTCATGTAGGAAGGCATCAGTGATTCCTAGTGTTCATACGTACAGTCGGGAGCACTGAGGTTGCGACACTTTTTTTTTTATAAGTTTACGAACGCGCAAAAAATTCAGGATCCTGAATTATTTTGCGCGTTCGTAAACTTATAAAAAAAAAGTGTCGCAACCTCAGTGCTCCCGACTGTACATTACGAAGGTGCCCTTGCATTGATTCAGTTTTTAGAAATTGACACAACTCTAAGTATAACAAAGAAACTTCTTTGAAAAGCGGCGCCTTCGCGACGTACCATGCCTGAGCGAAATTTCTGCCAAACTGATCAGTCAACTACAAGTGGTTCCCATTTAAAAACTATGATACCCTCGACATTTTTAAGTAAGGATTGTTATCTTAGAACGTTCTACAGAATCTGTCAACGAGAGGTTTCGAGTTCTCTGGGACACTGAATGTACATATGTGTGTGTGAATATATACACATATATATTTTTTTTAATCGCAAATGTATTTATATATATATATATATATAGAAAATGGACGAGTACAGCGAATCAATGTGATGACCTACTGTGACCGACGGTAGCATATGTTATTTTGATTCCTAGCACACTGGGAAAGTGCAACAAGCACACACGCGTGGCTGCACACAATAAATTATATTAACTTTCTATGTATCGTGTATCTTGTTCTTGCACACCCCCTCCTCCCATTCCATATTCATGTCGCAATAATATACTATTTTCCTGATCAGGATCACACAGTCGCTTTAACTAAAAAAAGAAACATATCAAGGTTTAAGTCACTAAATGAATTTATAAATTGTCTAGATCAATTGAAGCTGTCAAATAGACGGCAGTAATGTGTCAACCATTATATTTTTATATACAAACAAGAGCCGTTTACAGACAGCGAGTCGGTTCATTACATCAGTGGCATTGTGCATCGCCTATAGTTAATAATTTAACAATACCTTTCCGCTAATCTTTTACTTGCACTATTTCGTTTTCACTGTCGTCAATGTAAAAGTGTTCCCTCGTGGACGACATTAATTTGAACACTACCGGAATTACAGTCAGAATGGGATTCTTCTGCTGCAAACATCGTATCCAGGACAGCAGGGAGTCCTTCGTGGACGTGCCGGTGGCGCACATCGCAAAGTACGTGCCATCGTTCTGTTCATGGACCGTAGGTGCGACAATCATCTCTTTCTTATCCCAGAAAGGTATTTTAATGTCTGAGACATCTGTAAAAACGCATACCTTTCCATTAGAAGCCACGAATTCAAATAGTCAATGTACGATTGAAGTATTTATATAATTATGTTATGAAGATATTGTTAATCGCCACGTGTATGTGTGTAACACGATAGTAATACGCAAGACATAAATCAATGAGCAATTCAGATCATTCACCGTCAACATTTTCGTAAACGCTCTTCACTTCCTTGGCCGCTGCCCTCAGGACGAAGTAATCTATGCAGAGATCCGCGACCCAAACTGTATACGGTCCTTCGACGAAAATCGGAGTGTTGAGAGGCTGCTTTCGCAGCAGCTCCTCCTGCAGGCTGCTCATTGCGGACACGATCCACGTGTCGTCGATGGCGTCCTCCACGTCCTTGGTATCAAAATCCGTGATTCTGGTCTGCACGTCTACGCTGGATATCTTGCTCATCGCCAGCCTGGCGACCACCCGCGGGTCCTTGGGCGCCGGTCTGGGGCAGGGCCAGGGATTCAGGTTGGCGAACTTGGGCATCCAGTACATCATCCGCCAGAACTTCTTCAACGGCAGGCCGTGCAGGCCGAAGATGTTGAGCAGCATCTCCTGGACCTCCGCGTCCGGCATCACGCAGTTGCGCTCCATCTTGACGAGCAGCTCGACGGCGACGTACTGCTGCTTGGGGTAGTGCATGAGTATCGACTGCATGTAGTTGCGGGGGATAAACTTGCCCTTGGGCAGCACGTCCAGCAGGGACTTGTACACCGCCAGGTCCCGGTTCACGCCGAACTCGTCCATGTACTTGAGAGCGACCTGGATGAACTCCACGTGGCCGCGTCTCATTTCGTTGTTGTTCTTGTACTGGCGCAGGATGTCCAGGTAGGCCATCCTCTCCTTGCGCTCGACATTCGCGAAGGCGTGGAGCACAAGGGCCGACGGCTTGCCGCTTTTCTTCTCGCTGCGTTCCTGGCCGGTGTGGATAGCGCGACTCGACGGCCGGCTGGCCGCAACGACCTCGCGCAGCGGCTGCCTCGACAAAGCGGTGACGCTCGGCGCGAGGACGCTCCGGATGATCCGCGAGAGCATGTTGGCCGACATGTCCCCCCCTAGCACGTCATCTCCGAGCGAATGATCCGAGTCTCGCCCGCCAAGATATATCTCGCGTCCGCGAGGTTACGGTGCGCCGCGGATCCGAGGCGACCTCAGATTCTAACCTCAATTTCCAATTCTTCGTATCGCACGCCATTTTAACCACGTCAAGGAGTGGGAAGCGCGTGCTAGACTCTTCGTTTTGTTTATGACCTGAGGAACGACCGGGTTATATGACGATTTGACGTGTCAATTCAGTGATAAATACGATGAACGAAAATCTGGAGAACATCAATCCGAAGCTCTACAAAAAATTGGATGACCGAGAAATCACCGTCGAGGAGCAAGACGAGGATGTCGCGGATGAATTTGACGCGCGAGAGGTTTTCGGTACATAACCTCAAAGTGTATTGTCGATTATGCACGAGATAATTTATACGTTATTTGTTGCGAGCCTATCTGTACAATTTTATTAACACTTGCGTTCGTTAGACTTTTTATTGACGATCGAAAATTTAAAATCAACTCAAGTGCGAATAACAAAATGCGCGTACTTCATCAAATTGTTTGCACGAGTTAGAGTTATCGTTATTAATTATTATGTATTATGTTACATTATTAATGTGCGTCATGTTACATTACCTAACGAAATGAAAAAATCTAATATATCAACGTACATACCGAATGTGCATTGAAAAATATGTAGTGTCGCATATTATGGGTAGAATTTGAAAAGTAATATTGATTGCTGACAATTTGACAGATATAATCAGAAATATCAATGATCCGGAGCATCCTTTGACTTTGGAAGAGCTGAACGTAGTTGAGCAAGATCTCATCGAGGTAAGATATTTCTCTATAATGTCGTGCTGGTCTTCGCTGCATTTTGCGGTTGCTTAAAGCTTGGTATTGCAGGTTGACGACAAGAAGAACAGAGTGGACGTGAAGTTTACACCTACAATCCCGCATTGCAGCATGGCCACTCTAATCGGATTGTCTATTCGCGTACAATTGCTGCGTGCCTTACCCGCTAGGTTTAAAGTCAGCGTGGAAATTTCCCCGGGCACTCATGTCTCGGAGGCGGCAGTGAACAAGCAGCTCGCGGACAAAGAAAGAGTGGCTGCGGCCTTGGAAAATGCTATGCTACTCGGCGTGATCAATCAGTGTTTGGCACCGAAAAATTAGCAAATTGTATTAATTCCGAGATTCGTGTTTGAAGCCCGCGTAGTTTTGTTGTACGTCGCAAAGTAGCTTTTGTATCTCAGTTTGAACAACGAACGTAGAGAGAGAGAGAGTTTGCTGAAACTCTTTAAAAAAAATCGATTAAGTAAGATTGCTGTGAATAACGGGTATTAACTATAAGATTTAATAGATATTATTTAATAGATAGATTAGTAATATTAACAGGAAAGTTTTCTTCGATTTAAATATACGTATTTACTAATACGTTTACCATGTACAGTTCACTATACAAGTGGATCACTAATAAAATTAACATGGATTTTAATACATCCAGTGAAAATGAGGTGTAGTATGAAGGGAAAGAGAAAAATATAGATGCTTAACACAAAGTTGTACTATTTGTGGACGTACATCTAAGGTCTGTTTTTTTTAATACCTCGACTAGTGCAAACTCTTCGTTCTTAAGGTAGTTGTTTCGCGACAGTAATGCTCAAAATTTTCTTCTAGACAGGAACTAGCACTCGGTTATTACAATGTTATATCTCGATGCAATATTGTTCTAAAGAATACGATTAATACATAATATAAAATAGATTCGAAAGATTATAGTTTGAGGCGCTGTTGCTACATCTCTTACAGTACACTCGTGCTTACTACATAATTCTTCCCATTTTTCAGTTTTAGCTGTTTATGTTGTTGAAACGGAACGGTCAATAATTTTGATTTTTTATTCAGTTCTTCGTTCCATTTTACTTTATAACATATTTGTTTCTCATACGAATCTCGCTCACCGTTAAGCTTAGGAAAAATAAAATGTGCCATCGTTTGCGTTTGCGTACGCAAACAATAATATTTTAACACACAATAATGTGTGTAAATAATATTTCACGTGTAATAATACTATAACGAATTATATTGTTACGTGTAATAATATTTTTAACGTGTTTTACACGTAATATTTCGTGTAACGTAGCAAGCTTTAACATTTCTTTTTACAACTTTGAGACGGTCGATTTTAATTTAATTAGTCTTATCTGGCACGTATTAATGTAAAGAATAAACCGTAAAAATGTGAAACAGTTCTCACATAAATGATTTTACGAAATAACTAACTTAAAGGGAAGTTACAGTGCAGCTTAGTGCAATAATAAAAAAATCTTTCAATTGATGATCATATATGTAGACTAATTTGACACGGCGATTAATAGTCTTGCTTATTCTTGCCAATATAATTCCAGATAACTTGGATAATATTGTAATCTAGACAATTGGCCTTTTTTATGAATTAAATAAGCACGGTGGATGTAACGGAAGATCCTTTTCTCGTAACTGCTCCGCGTTGTACTTTTCGCGGTTTAAAAGTGAGTTGCGTTCACCATGAAATGCAGAAGTGGACGTAAAGTTTAAGTTCGCGTTACTCCTTACCTAATTATTTTTGCGTTCTTTTAAATATTTTTAAATTAAAAGATTCGCCGCCTACCTTCACATTACGAGTGGAGTCGTTTGGAAACGCGGCTTGTCCCATTGCCCGCCGCGCTGGTGTGTGTGTGTGTGTGTGTGTGTGTGTGTGTGTGTGTGTGTATGTGTGTGTACCACGTGACTCGCGTCATATGACATGTTTTGACGCAACATGGCGCCCCTGGCTGTCAGAGTGCGATGAGTCCGTGGAAGCGATTATCCGTCGTGTTCCACATCCGACAGCTAACGAAAAGATGCCCGTTGACATCAATCGATTGACGGAGGGTTGGCTAGAGCTGGAGAGCGACCCGGGTACGTTGTTAACCGCGGAGCGCGTCCGCCGATCGTTTCGTCAATGCGTATCCGTAGGCCCGTCCCGCAGCTCGGACGGCACTCGCGCTGTGAAATTGTAGCGAGCGCGACTGTAACACTTTGCAGGCCTGTTCACGCTGCTCCTGGAGGACTTCGGCGTGAAGGGTGTCCAAGTGGAGGAGATCTACGACCTGCAGAAGTCGCTGGAGGGCCCGGTCTACGGCTTCATCTTTCTGTTTCGGTGGATCGAGGAGCGGCGATCGAGGCGAAAGGTCGTGGAGCAAGATGAGAGCTTCGTCAAGGACGAGGAGATCGTCAACAATATCTTCTTCGCGCAGCAGGTCTAGCAAATAGTCCTTACCATGCCGGATCGGCTGTTACATACACGAGTGTAGATTATTTTTGTAACGCACGATTGTGCGACTGTCCCGCAGGTTGTGCCCAACAGTTGCGCCACGCACGCGCTGCTCTCAGTTCTGCTGAATTGCCCGAACATCCACCTCGGTACGACCCTGTCCCGGCTGAAGATGCACACCTCCGGCATGTGTCCGGAGAACAAGGGTTGGGCGATCGGCAACACGCCGGAGCTGGCCTGCGCGCACAACTCGCACGCCATGCCCCAGGCGAAGAGGCGGCAGGACAAGAATACCGGGGTGTCCACGGGCAGATTCACCGGCGAGGCTTTCCACTTCGTCAGCTACGTGCCGATAAACGGCAGGCTGTTCGAGCTAGACGGCCTGAAACCCTATCCCATGGATCACGGGCCATGGAAGGAGCACGAGGAGTGGACCGAGCAATTCAGGCGCGTCATAACCGACCGTCTGGGCATGGCGACTGGCGAGCAGCTGCAGGACATCAGATTCAACCTCATGGCCGTCGTGCCGGACCGACGTCTCGCTATCTCGCACAAACTGACGATGCTGAAGACCAACAGGCAGATAGTCCTGGAGGCTCTGCAGCAATTGATGAAGTTGAGCCATCAAGATGGCAACAACGCCGAGAAGAATTCGCACAAAGAGATCGATCCCGACAAGGAGAAGCCGTACGAGAAGAGGAGCAAGACCGAGGATGAAAATGGACTGCCCGCCAAGACGGAGATCGAGGAGTCGCCTGCAATTCCCTCCATCAACGTTGAGAGAAACAACGACTCGGCGGTGGTTATGGACGAATCGGTCTCTGCCATCGCATCCGGGAAACCCGAATCCACGTAAGCAACAATTGCGATTTTATTCGTACGACACGCGATGTTGTCTCTTTTCGCTGCGATACTCAAAGTCGAATCTCACCGGGTACAGTGAGAATATGACATTACTTGTTTTCAGTTAGAGTCGCGTCGTTTCTCGTATTGCGTCTACCTCGTTTATTGTCAACTATAAAACTTTATCGGCGCCGCAGTTTCGACTTACAAGCGATTTACGCTTGATTCCAGCAGGATGGAGAAGGTGGTGATGTGCGCTCTGGATTACGCCACGCCGCTGCGAATCCAAACCTCGCCGGCTCACAGCTCGTCGAGTACGGACACGTCGTCGGAAATCGGATCGGCCTTCAACTCGCCCACTCAAGGTAAAAAGAAGGGGCAAAGACCTCCGGCTTCACGGCAGTGCGTCGCACAGCCGTCTGGTGGTGCACACTTTCTTGCTCTGGCAAAATATCAATGTGTTCGGGCAGGTCATTCGGATCGACTTGATATCCTCGGAGTCCGGCGCGCCGTGACAGATGAAGTAATGAGAATCGGAGGCGGGATCCTTCATCTTGCCGAGCTCCCGGCACACTCTCCCCTCGGGCGTTTCCTCCCCGCCGAGGATCGCCGTGCTCTTGTCCTCGACGCGCTCGACGTGCGTCCCCTTCGCGGGGAGCCGGTCGCCCGCGCACGTCCTCGCGCTCTCGACGTCGCAGATACGCGAGTGCACGTTGAAGGCCGTGTGCGGCGGGCAGAAGTACTCCACTACCGCGGCGGTTTTCGGCTCGCACGTGTAGTACCGGCTGCAGTCGGTCCCGTTCGGCAGACGAACGTTCCTCGTGCACGCCACGACGCTGACGGCGCGCGGCGCTAATCGATGCGCCACGGCCCTGTACCGCTCGACCGTGAGGTACTGTTTGCTCCCGAGATTATCGCTAATCCTTATTATGCTGTTGTCAGAGTCCAGACTGTCGATTAGCAGCTCCGGGCCGCCCGCCGTCGTCGCGACGCTGCTCGCCTGAGGACCGCCGCTGCTTCCCACCGCTTCGGTTGGCGCACCGTTATGCGACTCGTCTCGTTCCGCGTAACTTTGCGCAAGATAGTTGAACGATACGTTCCGCCCGCGAGACGCGAATATGACGACGGTTTGCTCTACGTCTCCGGCGGGCGTCGACGGAGAGGCCGACAGCGCGGCCGATAGCTCCTCGAAGGTGTGCGACAATCTGTTGAGCCATTTGTAATGATTGTCCACGACGTCCTTGTACTTTTGCACCAGGGACAGCGGTAGTTGCCCCTGGCTGCTCGTGTACTCGTGCAGATAGTTCTCCTGCCCGTGACACGACGAGTTCCTCGCGTCTTCGTCGCCGCGCGTCTTCCCGTCCGATTCTTCGAATTCGATCAAGGGATAGGCGGTCACCGCCTTGGTCGTCGAGTCGTAGAAATCGTCGATCACGTAGGACGAGTCGATCGTCTCGGCGAGTCCCGGGGGTTCCTGCGTGTACCCCAGGTAGCTGGTACCCGTCGAGTCGATCAGCGCGGGTGCGCGCTCGGTCGAGAGCGTGTCGCACGTCCAAATATCACCGGGGACCACGCATATCCGCAAATACGGTTGGAATACCTAGAATAAGACGTTCGTTAGAGCGGTGCCATTAGAATTACCAGCGAGGGTCGGGAGGGGCTTCGTTTGTCCCGTTTATTAACGTCTCACCAAGCCCTCGCTACATTTCGACGGGACCCACACGTAACCGCCGCCGGGCAGGTTCACGCAATTGTAGAAAATCGTGCAGCTCGTTAAATGCGGCTTCCTCGGCTCCGGGCATCTCGAGGGCCTCGCCAGGCAGATGAGACTGCACGCGAGGAGAACCGGTAGGAGACGCATCCCGTGGCGCGACCGCTACAGACTGCAGTTCCTGGGTTCGCCTCGAGACGCTATGTACTTTTCGCACACGCGCGTGTGTACATCTCCGCGAGGCGTTCCGTTTCGCACCTTCCACGTACAGTTACTTGACCCGTCTGTTACGCACTGCCGGTTTCTAATCGTGCACAATTTTGGAGGCGCTTTGCACAGTGTAAAAACAGGCGTTGCGAGATCATTAGCGCTAACCCCCCGAGGAAGGGAGACTTAGAATATCTTGATGTCTCCTAGCTTGGGGATGGAACTCCGGTCAGAGCAGCCCCACGTCGACGAAGGACTTCAAGAAGTTCGTGGTGATCAGAGTCGCCGGCGACGAGAAGAACGAAGTCGGTCTAAGTAGGTATTAGATTTACACGGTTCACAGCGAAGCGCATATAAGGTTGTCTAACGTCGAAACGTCGCGTTTATGCAGGCCGCTCTCTGGGAAATATCAATATAAACGGGAAGAGATTGGTCTCCGACAGCGGCCACTTGCACAAGAAGGTCTGCCTGTCGGGCGAGGTCAGGATTCCTCACGCGAGGGTGAAAACCAGCAACGGCGACACAGTCACGGAGGAGAAGAAGGTCGAGAAAATTGATCCCAAGCTGTGCTCCAAGTATCCGGAGTTGTTCGAGCCGCACACGTTCGCGCCTAAGGACCTTTTGGCGCTGCTGAAAAATTTGGAGCACGAGATCAGCGTGTGCGAGACCAGCCTGAAGGACGAGAACGACAAGAGAAACAAGTACAAGGTCGGTTTTGCGCGCGTCATGAAACGCCCACTGCTTTCAGTGGCGAAAGCTGCTGGCCGACAGTCGTGACATTTCATCCATTCCTCGCGATTGTAGATCGCAATGTATGTCTGTAATATTATCGAGTATTTTATTCTCAGAGTCACAAGAGTCGTGCGAATCTTTCAGATCGACGATTGCCGGAGGACGCATAATTACGACGAGTTCATTTGCACCTTCCTGTCGATGCTCGCTCAGCAAGGCAAACTGGCGGAGTTGGTCCAGCAACATCTAACGTTAAAGAAGCATTCTTCCGTTTCAGTGAACAGGGTTCACAGGTGTGTCTTTTGTTCGATACTCGATCACTTAAAATTCCCGCAAATCGATCAAGTAACCGTTACGTTGATCTGTTAAGTTAATTTGCCGAGTTAACTGCTCCTCTGAAATCGAATTCCGATGTATTTTCAGGTCATCGAAGAAGTCCGACACCCGTCAAAACTCTTCGCGCAGACGCCGTGGTAGAACAAAGTGTAAAAAACGAAAGTAATCTCTAACGTAGATTTAGTAGCTCTAGAGTATCGTTCCGTCTGTTCAGGACTATTTCAAGTGTTTATAACGGACATGCTATGGAAATTAACAGTTTTACAAAACGTAGACAAGCCATATTGTACAACGGAGCGATTCTAAGTTGCGCGCGAATACTTCAGAGGGTGAATGCAGAGCTTGAAACGAGATGAAAAGGGTCGAACGTGCGAATGTTATTCCTTAAGCCACGATAAATTAAAATGTTCGTCCACCTTTCTACGTTCATACATTTTTTTTCTTCTTTTTCGGCTCCAAATTTCCTCTGCAGCATCGACGTCAAGAATCGCCCCGTATGGTTTCTGAATAATATCCTTTCAAGAATCAGTGATTTATTATTAGCTCGATATTTCTGGCTTTCTAGCGTAACGCAACTACTTTTTAGACGATTGTAGGACTCGGACTCCATCACTGACAATGAGTAGACATTACTTCTTACACTGTACAAACTACAATGTATACATATATATTTTTTATATTCTTTGTATAATCACACGCGTGATGTTTAATTGTCCAAAGTAGAGTATTTATGCTTGTCGTAGTCCCGCTTGCTTTTCAGGGGTGTTCTCTGTCCCTCTTTTCTGAATTATATTTCGTATAAAAAATATATATACATAACTTATGGGAAGCGTAACGCAGCGTTCCTTCATCCATGCCGAATCGCTGAGAAGGAAGAGAAGGATAGAGCGGGGGCCGGGACGTGTCAAAAGAACCAAGGAAGGGGCTTTGTGTCAAAAACATTGAAAATATTTATTTATCGGTATTCATATACAAGTACACTACACGCGCTGTGGATATGTCCCTTAGAGTCTAAATACTTACATCTCCGAGCAGCCGGAGAAAGGAGAACCAAACCTTATTCGATTGGTTGGAATTGCGGTCGTATATATATATTTTTTCCTTTTCTTTTTAATCGCAAATCTGATGACGGGTCATCGATCCTCGCCTCTAAGTCGCTTTACCGTTAGTATAGTGCATAGGAACTGTAGTCGAAACGCGCGCGAACGATTTCGCGGGGCACAATTGGGGGGGGGGGGGGCAGAGAAAAAGGGATAAGAGTGTCGTTCCTTCTCCGGCCGACGTTCCGGCGGTCCTCGTAACTGCTTTTTGGCAAAAGGGTGCGATTTGTATATGTACAACATTTGTAACGTGTCGGTTCTCTTTCTTTCTCTCTCTCTTTCTTACTCGCTCGCTCTCGCGATTGCGTCGCGTTAACGCGAATCGTTCGGGGCGAGCGAGGACATAGTGCGCGAGGGATATGTGTATGTATGTATGTATGTATGTGTTTGTTTGTTTGTTTGTTTGTTTGTTGTGTGTCTGGGTCTGTGTAGAGCGTATGCAATCCGGAATCGCGTCGAGACCACGTCGTCGACGTTGATCGCGAAAATCGCGGTCGCTCGTTAGTCAACAATAGAAGACAACGTTATTTACACGGTGCAGCATCCTCGTTCCCCTCGCCGACCGCCGGGGCCGGCGGTCGCGGCGAGAAACCGCACACGACTTCGTCGTTACAACAGGCACTCTCGGTATCTTACTGCGACGCTAAATTCTTGTGAAACGCGGGCGGCGTTGCTTTGGCGAGCGGTCGTTCTTCAACAGCTTTTATCGGAGCTCGGCGACGACGACTCGAAACATGTTTTATTGCTATTTACGCTTTGTATCGTCGATTTCAAGTCGCAAGTTTTGCGCTCCGGTCCGGGGGAATTGAAAACTCGGCGGTGGTTCGAGGCTCCCTCGCGCGACCCGTCGCTGGCCGCGGAATTAATTTACAAGTGTACCGTACAAAATATGGAACATTCGCGCTGGGGAGAGTAAAGGAAAAAAAAAACAAGAATACGGGAGCAAGAGAGAAATAAACAGACGAGGCTCCGTCCGCGAGAGGAGACTCTGAGACACCGCCGGTCAACGATCGAGCGTTCTCCAATTTCCTCGTCGTCGTCGTCGTCGTCGCCGCACGCTCTTCCGTATATAACATAGGCGATTAGCGTACAATAAATAGAGATGCCTTTTCGCTATTTACGGTTGCTCCCGTTAACGTCGATTCGCGCCTGTTATCGCTCTCGCGTATCACATGTGGTAAAAACGAACGGTCGATCGATCGGGGACAATGATCAGCAAAGTATCGCCGGTATTCTCTCTCTTCACGTCGCCGACTTGGCTCCCTCGTCGCCGGACAAATATCCTCGCTTTCCCTCCTCGTTTCGCGCTCCCGAGAAAAATCGCACTTCGGTCCAGGCCGATAACGCGATCTCGGTAACGGCCGGTTACAATGCAACATAATCCGTCGTAACGTAATCTCACGCATCTCCGAATCGGCAACGGCGCAATCAAACGCTGCACGTGCGTTACAGCTCGCTTCAATGATATCGAAAAATACATTAATTTGAAAAATATATATATATGCATATAATATATATATTTCTTGCAAGTATATATATGCTATGTAAATATATATTACATACACCTATAGGCTCGCTTAATACTTCAATGCGCGCTAAATTCCGCCTTCCGAGAGGACTTTCCGCGGCGATTGTACATACAAAGTTAGCGTTTCTCGTCCGGCGTTTGTAACACAGATGCACTTTCGTTTTCTTTATACATGTACATATATACACACACACACACACAGACACTCGCCACCCGTGCGACTGTACGGGCGGATTCGATAGCAAAAGTATAAAAAGGGAGACAACAGACAACGTCGCGCAAAGCGTCGTGAGAGAAATTTAGCGCGAGTGCCGAGGAGAGACGCTGCCACGCGCGATTCCTTCCCCGTCTCGCAGTCAAGCCCGGATCGACCAGCGTGATTGCGGACCTGGGAACGTTCGAGGAAACGAAGTAGAGCGAGAGGAAAAGAAAGCCGAGAACTCGCGGAGCTTCGGCGCGGCTTTCCGGAGACGCGACGGAGGGAAGCAATAAATAAGAGGGGAGAAAAAAAAACCAAGAGCGAATTCGGGAGTGAGAGCACCAGCGAACCGAGTTTCCGAAGTTCCGAGCAAAGTGGATATCCGCTTGCGAAAGTTGCCGATAGTCAACACGCGCTGGTGTGCGAAATTAAACGGGGGATTCGGTTTTGGCGAATAAATAAAATGAACGCGAATTGAAAAGCTCGACGTCTCGAAGCTCCGCTGCGCGAGACGCGAATAGGAAGAGGATGACGATGATGGTGACGGTGACGCGAGGGGAAAAATGAAAGAAGGAAGAAGCGATCCCCGCCTCGTGCGCGGGAATGGATCGTATTATGGGTATCCGATGGTAGTGAGATAGCCGGTTGCGCGACCAATCATCAATCGGGAAGGGGAGGAGTAACTCGCGTGTATAACAATGCTCCGTTTAATACAGATCGCGGTGCTTCGCTCGCACGATCGCGCCGATTATACGCTCGGCCCGACTCGCCGCGACACGCTTGCCCGAATCGACAAAGCTCTCTCTAGTTAACGATAATGGTAATAATAGAAGAACGATTAGCCTACGGGAGACTTACAACGTAACTTACAGCGCTACAAGGTATCGCATTCGGCTCTTAGCTCCTAATTCCACCTCGCTTCGGGCTGAAGAGTGGAGAACGCCTTTAACCCTTCGACCCGGTAGCCGTCGAGTCCACCCGCGAGGGGGGTATTCGTTTCCAAACGACGTCAGCCGACGTCTCTCGCGTATCACAATAAGTTATAAGTTTTATCGAAGAGGAAGCCTCGCGTTCCAGGGAGGTATAATCTACGGGTTGAAGGATTAAAGTTCTTCGCAGAGAGAGACGCGGCGAGAGACGAGAGTCTCTCGCTACGTCTCCCGGTCATCGACGACTCTCGTGCAACGAGCGGCGATCGCTAGCAATCGGTATACAATCGCGAATTACTCGCGAGGCGTTTCATCGTTACTTGGATATATCTGCGAATCGCTTCCCCGTTGCACCGGCACGCGAAAACTCTTTGCGCGCTCCTCGTCCTTGAGACAAATCAATTTTTTACAAAATTCTTCGTAGGACCGATCGCAGACGCCGAGGCGCAGCTCGGTTGTATTGCGACTGAAACCTCGGCGACGGTCTGAGGGCCCGTCGTTCTTCCCACGCGTTCTCCAGACGACGGTCTGCGTGCTCAATTTCCAAGGACCCCGGCATCCGGCCAGGGGGAAGAGGACTCGCAGTGACCCGCGAAGAGAAGAGGGGAGGGCCGTGTCCTTCACGGCCCGCTGACCGTGGCGGAGTGACCCGTCACCAGGCTGTCCGTCGCCGCGGTCGCCACCGCTGCTGCGACGGGTTTCCCAAGGCGGAATATCGATTGCAGGGACGCGACCTCGGACGCGAGGCGGTCCAGCTTCAACTTGACCTCCCGATCGCTCTCCGAGACCGCGGTGACGGTCGGGCCGGTCCACTCGGCGCCCAGCGAGATACCGGAGTCGCGCTCGTCGCTGGAGCCCTCGTCCCAGGGCGGCGACGCCCGGGGTCCCGGCTCCTGCTTGATACCCTGAAGCGCGAGGAGCGCGCTCGCGGCGTCCTTGTCGCCGATGCGCGACTTATGCCTGAGCTTGTGGGGCAGACTGTTGTTGGCGGTCGGGTTGTTTTGGGAGCCCACGACCATCTGGGGACCGGCCTCGTCGCCGCTGCCCGACGACAGCTCGAATGGCGATTGCGCCCGGCGACCGCGCGACGACAGGTTGAGCGCGGTGTTGTCCAGGTGGTGCATCGCCGGGTGCGAGTACGGGTACTGGAAGCTCTCGGTCTCCGGGTAAGCGGTCGTCTCGGGCACGTAGAGCTGGGCCGGTGATCTCGGCGAACGGGCACCGCTCACCGGCTGGTGGATCACCGACGTGTGCACCGGGCTGGGCGAGCGCGCGTAAAGAAGCGTCGCCGACGCCGGTATCTTCGCGCGCTTCACGCTGATCGTGGACTCGGTGGGCAGCGCGGCCAGCACGTGCTCCGTGCTGATAACAGACTCGCCGCAGATGCCAAACTTGTCGCGTATCGCATCGAGCTGCGCCTTGAGAATGTGATTCTCCTTGCTGAGCTCCATCACCCGTTGCTCCAGCACCATGTCGTTGAAGCGGCGCTTCTCGCGCGACCGCTTGGCCGCCTCGTTGTTGCGCCTGCGACGATCCCAATAACTGTCGTCCTTCTTGTTGTCGGGGATGAACTCGCGCTGCTTGCGTTGCGAGAACAGCTCCTTCCGTAGCTCGAAGTTGGGCGAGTAGCTGTCGGGGTGCGTATTCACCGGCGACCCGTCGTGGTGAAGGAGCTGCTGTTGCTGCTGCTGTTGCTGCTGCTGCTGCTGCTGCTGCTGCTGCGGCTGCTGGGCCTGGTGATGGTGGGGATGATGCGGCGGTTGCGGCTGCTGCTGCTGTTGCGGCGGCAGCGGCGCCTGCTGCTGCGGTTGATGCTGATGCTGCTGCTGGATCCCGGCTGGGGGCCCGCCGTGATGGCCGGGATGCGTAAGGGGCACCGTGAGGGGTCCATGGGCGTCGTGGGGCCCGCTGTGGGGCGCGCCGTGACCGCCGCTGTGGGCCATTGTGTGCGTGGCCGGCATGTTGCTGTTCAGACACGCGGTCTCACCATTGATGGGCGATCCACTCTGGCGGACGACAAACTCTGCCACCATAATTTCTCGATGTCTTCTTAGTACATCTGGAACCGAAAAAGGGCCACCGATTAGCTAATCGTACGCGGCGGGGGGGATATCGCGGATTTACAGCTCGCCGATCGATCCGCGACGCGCGTCACGCGCTTAGTAGCGACGATGACGCAACTCGCGTTGCGTTGCAGACGACGGCGATAATACGTACACGTCAGAGAGAGGATCTGACTAACGATCAGACTACTGCGATCAGTATCGTCGTGCGTGTTATTTAACTATAGAGAGGAAAGAGAGAGGGGGGAGTATCTGTAATCTTGAAGGCTTATCACTGTATTGGATCTAGATCCGAAGTTAAAATCCACAAAGTTGTTTGGAAACTTCTAGGAGTTTAATCTTCGTTTCAAGTTTGCTTTGGAAGTAGGATTTTAATAGAATCTTCGGTTGAGTGCAGAAGGAAAATTGTTATTCATCAGATCTGTTTTATTTTTCTCAGTGTGACCAAGACAACTGATTTATGCGGCTTCTGACGTCGAAGCGAGAGAGAGAGAGAGAGAGAGAGAGCAGCTAAAGATAAAGAATTCTGAGAGATCGAGAGACTCGCGCTGCCAACGGGCGGCACTTCTCTCGTCCGAAGTTGCAAAATAGCCTTGAGTAAGGTCGCGTTCGCCAAGGTAGAAGGTGCCAGCGAACCCGGCCCGACGAGTCGTTCGCTTCACCTCTGACTGTCGCTTAAAAAGGAAAAAAAGAAAATACATCGTCGTTTCGTGAGTTATTACGCAACGCCCGATATTCCACAGAACCGGACCTCCTTGATCTTTTCGATCCGCGACAATTTTTTGGGAGATCGAAGCGTCGCGGTGAACCCGAGCTTCGACGAATCTCTCCCTCTCTCTCTCTCTCTCTCGAACAGTCGCGCGATTAACGGGTTCCTCGAGATAACGTTCTTCAATTTCGGCGACGGAGATACCGCTGGGGGCAACGGTGACGTAAGCTTGTATAACTGGGTTGTCCCCAATCGTCGATTATCGGTTCGCGATTAAACGCCACGAGGCGGAGGGGGGGGGGGAGACGCGCGAGCGCGTCTCCTCGCGCGTTTATTTTTAACCCGCGATCGCGGATGAAAATACCCCGCGCCGGCGTCGCCTTCGCCTTCGCGTACGTAAGCCTTAATCCGAGCGGCGGATGCGCGGCGCGGTTACGCAATCGCGCACGTGCGTTTACCTAGTCGATCCACGTGTTCTGGAAGTCGAGCGGCGGAAAACACGCGTTTCGCACGACCTTCGATATTTACTGCACAAGTCCCGGTGCGGCTTGAGGCCATTAACGCTAACGTACTAATTACGACTGCGAAGATGCACGAGAAAGAAACGTCTTTTTTTTCCTCTGTTTTTTCCCCTGTTTCTCTCCCCCCCCCCCCTTCTCTCTTTCCGTTTCTCTCGGATCAATTGTCGTCGATCATCTCGCGACGGGCTGGTCGTGCGACTTGCCGTACGCGGTCTAAGAAATCCACTCTTAGACGAGATAAGTATTGTTACGTAAATTGTCGCGTTCCATATGTAAGAATATTTTAATCGTCGTAAGAGGCACGGCGTTGCGTGTCAACCGCATCATCGCTTATCATCGCCACGATAATCATCCGCGAGCTCGACCTCGTAAAAGCGCACGTCCCGACGATCCCGAGTATCGAATTTTCGCCTTGGAATCCGTATTTTCGCAGCTGCCCGTCAACGGAAAAAGAAATGGAACACGTGAGAACCATATTTAGTCGTCTTTGTGAAAGAAATCTTGCACAAACTTCACCGGTGCGGACCGGACGACATATTTTATACAGAGTGTACTAAAACCACCGGATAACCTTTTAATCGCAGATTCTTTAGAAAATTTCGAGAGGAAAATTCTAATACAAAAATGTCGAGGCTATGATAGTTTTTGAATAATAAGCGAGTATAATTTCACCAATGATAGG